CTGACAAAACAGAAAATCCAGTTTATTCCTGCCACAACCGTTTCCTCTAATTGATGGTGCTTTCATTTAAATTCATCACCCAGCTAACTTTGTGATCTCAGCCTAAATAATGTTATTTTGACTAAGTGCTTAATGGTTATATTGATTTGTAAAAACCCCTCAGGTGATTCTGTCGTGCAAATGGACCAAAAGTGGTGATTTATTAAAAGGCTGCCTTTTAAAAGGTGTTCTGAATGTCACTCACAGCCACTGCTATTTCATCAAATAGATCACATTTCTCCTACTGCCTTGTGTCTGTGAAGGTCTATGGCTAACCTGAAGTTATATCTAAATTGACTTATTTTAGTAATTTTATTTCTAGTATAAACTTTGCTGACACTGAAATATGGCCTGAATAACTGACTTCTATGGCTGCATCAACAGTAACTTTTAGCAAGTTTAGATAAATACAGTGTAGATTAAGAGGATATTCTGCTTCCAGCTATATCAGTTAAACTGTTGCTTATGAATTATCAGGAAATCTTCCTTGTATTTCTACTGTGTGTATCCAAACCACCAAATTGCCAGTTCTTCAGCGCTGGAATCATCTTCCTGGCTACTCTACAGTATTGCCATAGTGCCTGTTATTCTGGTTATGACCGATGCTGCATGGCTGGCATCACAGAGCACATAAAAAATTAATGTGGTTTACAGAACAGGTCCTTCCTAGCCACCTCTGTGCCAGATTCAGCACTGGTAGGCAATCCTGTGCATGTGAGGGTCTGACACTTCAGATATCAATCCTTACAAAACTAATTTGATGTTTTACACTTTTTCCTGACTGGGTGATGTTATGCTGCATTGTTACTTTCTCATTTCTCCTGAACAACTTATAAGTGGTTTGCATCATTGTTTATTCTGGCCCACTACGGAGCAGCACAGAACCATTTTGTTTTCTCTCCATTTTTCTAAATGCCCTTCCTTAAAGGAAAATCTGGTGGACCCATTTGAACATGTTTATTTTGAAGTGGGGCAAGTACCTAAGCACTTAATACTTTGATTCAAATAGGAGTCTGAGATACCCATATGGTTTAGAATTAGAACAGTTTGTCACCATTTTTGTAATTTTTGATTGATTATTATAAGCTAACAGAGGGAGACAAAATGTGTGTTCAGAATTTAAAAAAATATTTTTCCCGCTTTATCAAATTAGGCAAAAAATAAATTCTGCTTTTTATATCAAGATAGCCTTTGAATACATCCAGAAAGAAAATTTTAGTTTATTTTTCTAGTTTATTTATAAAAAGACATATTTATGTCTTGTGCCATCTACTTTCTTTTTTCTTTGCATTTCAGAGCAGCTATAGATTTTGCATACTGATTAACAGCATTGCAGAGGCCTGTTGCTTTTACTTTGCTTGAGCCTCATTGCTCAGCAGTAGGACTGGTGAGAGAAATACCAGGAATATTCAGGATATACACATTAAAGCCACTAAAAAATTAAAGAAATCAGAAAATTAAAGAATTCAGAAATCTTTGGTCAGCACTAGAAACAACAGCAGATTATCCTGGATTGACGTCTTTTGTGTCCACACATGGAGCAGGTCTCTGGCATCTGTTTAAGCGCACAATTTAAATCTGTCTGAAGCCATCCTGCAGCAGCTCTTCCCTCCTGGTGCTCTGCCACAGGCCTGCCTCATGCTGGCTCTCATCTCCTGCTGTTGTGCTGCCTTGATGCTCAGCTTGTCTGCACTGAAGACAAGACTTCTCCATCCCAGTCTTCTCGTTCCCAGTTCAGTTTTCATCAGCAGTGCCCTGTGGAGCTATGGGGCACTGTCCTCCATCAGCGCTCTGCACCCCAGGACTGCATTGCCCAGCACCAGCCCTCTCTGTGGGGCCAGCAAATTCCTCCACAGCTCTGGAGTTTGCAGAATGAACACTAAAAATGGGGAAGACACGAAGCAGTGCTGAGGAGGTTTTATATGCTTGCTTTGGACTAACTACTAAGGCAAATAAAACGTACAGGGTAAGGAATGGTGCAAAGGTGACAGAAGCCCCTGTCCATCAGCATAAGCAGATGATAAATAAAAAGTTCATTTTCTATTAGGAGCAGGAAATGTTTCGTCCCATATATAATATGTTGCATTTACGATTGCCAGGACCAAGAACTAGATACAATAGAAAAGGGTTATTGTTGATACCAGGACTATTCCCTGATGCCATTGGTAATGGAAACAATTTGCAAGTGACATTAAGTTTCATGCTTCAGACCTTAAGGCAATACTTATTTATTAGAGATCTAAACCCAAGCATGAACAGTAAACTGTGGATTACTGTGTTACTTTCTCCTTTAACAAGACCCTAATCTGTTATGTAGCTCTCTCTTAAATCAGCAACACATGCCAAGTTATCCCATTTACTTCACTAGAAGCACTCGAGTGATTAAAGCAAATAGAATTTGGTAGCAAGATTTGACTCTCAAATGCAGTCTCTGTCCTCTCGATTTTGTTAGTCTCCAATTAGTCCCAAAGTTCTGTCTCTGAAACTGTTATTCCAGATACAAACTCATTAACAGTGTAGAGATGGATTTTTTATTCCCTGCTCAATACTTGATCTCTGTGACTGCATAGGAATTAATTTAATTACTTCCTGCAATATTTCACTGTAAACATGTAGCCAGTTTCTCACAAACTTCCAGTCTACTGGAAGTTTCTTCTCTTTGTTGAACATCTGTGGGATTTTTAATTTCTGTATAGTGTTTGCAATCAAATTCTTGCCAGAGCACTGCGGTTACTCTAATACTTGGCTTTAAATCATGTCACTCCACTGAAATAATCACACTTTTTAGAATAAAAGATTCAGTCCTAAGGGGAGAAAAAAGGGGGAAAAGATAAAAAGGCAATAAATTGTTTTGGTTTTGCCACAGGAAGAATTTTTCTTTTTTAGAAATGTAAATGAAGATTAAGTCAGCGAAAAAGGGTTGCAAGAGCAGTTTAACATTTATATTCATTAGACAGAGAAGTGATCTGCTGCTCAAGTAGTAGGGCTATACCTGCTTGTGATGTTTCATGATCACATTAACCATATGTTTCATTATTCACTGGTATTCTTTTACATGAAGACAGATGTAAAAACACTAAAGTAGTTATCACAGTGATAACCTGTTTTATGTTACATGTAAAATTTGCTTCCTGTACTGTATATTGTTCACCCTATTTCACCCCATTTTCTCTATTTATAATGTTTTCCAGCATGTTGATCATTTACATCTGCATTTGCAGAGTGGGGAAGCAGCATTATGGCAACTCTCTTAGTGAAAACATTCCTCAGATCCACTGCTTGAGTTCATTAGACACTGACTTAATTTCCAAGATTAACAGCCTCCCCCTTCTTCTGTGAACTTTCTGTACTCCCTAAAGCATCTGGAAAATATTGAGTTCTTTCTTTCTTAATTGCTGGTCACAAAACTGACAGGAGATAATACTGGTGATAGGACAACAAAATGGCACTTCAAAAAAAACACAGTCTCAGATTGTGAAGAGCATGTTTCACATGTTTTACGTGTTTCACTCTGTTCGAGCCATTCAGCTCAGAGCAAGACTCTAAATCTCTACCAGAACTGAGCGACATCAATAGTAATTCAAAATGTTCTTTAAATGAAGGTTTTCTTTCCTAGGTCAGCCTTTCTCTCTTTTGTGTATGATAACACTTTGATGTAAGATTATCAAGAGTCAACATTTAAGAGTCACTTTCTGTATACTCACTGTTCACATAGGCTGGCCTGGTGATAGAGGCTTAGCAGTCCAAGGTGTTAATTAAGCCAATCTCTTAATTCCAGATGGCTGCAACATAGCCTTATATAAAAAACACAGCTGGAGAGGCTGACTGCACTGCTCATCAGCCCATACTTGTGTAATGCGAAGAGCAACACTTACAGAACCTTTTTTGGATTCAAGTAACCCAAATTCCAAGGTTACCTAAGTAACTGTTGCAATGTCAATCCATTAGTATCACCAGACAAAGGCAAGCTTACTCCTGTAACTATACAAGAATTGAATTGGACTTGGTTTCTCCATACAGGAATAAAGAAAGATATACCACAGTGCATTTTTTTATCAGTTGCTAATTTTGAATTATGATTGTATGTGCTTTGGGGAAAATACTCTTCCACAGCAGAAATACTCTTGGTACCAAAAAAAAAAAAAAGTGAAAAAGTGTATAGTGGGCTTAGATAATTAGAAGATCCATCTCTGTGATATTAATTATTAAATATTAATCTCTATGAATTTTTAAAATTTGGTAAGGATGTAGTATTGGCACAGTTCTGCATCTGTAGAGTTGTCTTGGATGTTTGGTTGAGCCTTATGCTGGAAGACAGAATCTGTGTTAAACCAGCTTCAGAACTGTTCTGCTCATCAAAGTCTTAATAGCTTTGCATATATTACAACACTTTTAACATGTCTTGAATTCCCTTTTATTAACTGTATTGAGAAAATGTTTAAAATACATGCTTCTTGCACAAGTAAGTAGCCAACCTTGCCTAATTCCAACCAGTGCACCTGGAAGGATTTTAAAATGTTATAGTGTGGCATGCCATAAAGTAGTGTGGCATACCACAAAGCTCACAGTTCAGACAATAAGAACAGGGGGAAAAAATCTTCTTTTATTCCTTTTATGAGCTTTATACTTTAATCTCAGAAGCTTCAGTGTGTGCTTACCCAGTACAAGTCTTAACACACATAACTCTCTTTCATCTTCACTGTAGTTTGGGACACCCATTTCCACCCCTTCCTTCTTCCTTGTTGAAATAAAATGTTTCTGTGGATGGCCATCTGACTCTGAGTGACACTTTCAAATAATAGTGAAGTTGATGAAGAGTGCTACGTTGCACCATCATAACTTTTAAATAGCACAATCTTAAGGTGATTTCTATTGTCAAATTTCCATCAAATTAATCTTGATTTCTCTCTTTCCTTTTTTTTTTTCTTTCTGCTTTTTTTTTTCTTCAATTTTTTCCATAGCTGTAACTTATACAAGTTACAAGAAAACACCACCACCAGTACCCCCTCGCACCACTTCCAAGCCACTGATCTCCGTCACGGCACAGAGCAGCACAGAATCCACCCAGGATGCGTATCATGACAGCCGGACTCAGAGGATATCCCCGTGGCCGCAGGACGGGCGAGGGATGTACAACTCCACCGACAGCTTGGACAGCAACAAGGCCATGAACCTCGCCCTGGAGACAGCGGCTGCCCAGCGCCACGCGGCCGAGAGCCAGAGCACCGCCATACGGACCAGTGACAAGGCCATCCTGGTGACAAAAGCAGAGGAGTTCCTCAAGAGTCGCCGTTCCTCTATAGGCATCCAGGTAGTCTATCATAAACATATGTCTTGCTTGTCTTCTTTCTGTAAAGAGCATAGAGTGAGTCATTCAGCTTCACTTGCTCTAATAATCTAACAAACAACCCCTGGCTGCTTAGCATTAATTGCAATTCACATCATGGCTGTGCAGAAAAGTCTTCGGCTAATACGCTGTACCTGGGAGAAAATGAATGAATAAATCTCTAGGGAGGTTACCTGTCATTAACACTTGATATGAAAATTATACTGCAGAGCTACAGGTGAACAGCATGTTCATCTCCTTCCCTCCATGAATTAACGGTCCTTTTTATAGAATTTTACTAGCTTTAAAATGCATTACTGTACTTTTTCCATTATATTTCTCTTTTGACCTTGGAAAATGAGTAAAGCCATGCAATTTTTCAAGTATTCTACCTAAAGAGAGACCCTTGCCCTTTTAGTTGTGCTTGGTACCAAAAAAGAGAAAGAAATGTTCTGCTGTAGATACAGCATGATTAGAGATGGCAAGTAATAAAAAAACATTAATAAACACAGTCTTTGAGCATTCTTCCATTTGTCCGTCAAAACCCAAAATATTCATTTCACCTGACAAAATGTGTGTCGGACTGTGGAAAGCTTAGTCAAGCTCTGTTGTTTCAGGCAAATGAAATAAGACAATTCCAAATGCAAATTTTGATTGCTATTCCTTCTGCTAAATGGTATGTACTAGATAGCTAGAAATGGTCATTTGTTCAAACCCTTAGGAAATACCAGGTAATAATAAAAATTGGAAAGTTGAACTTGCAAAGAATATGAAGTCCTTTGAGAAGGAGTGAAGGAAAATTTAGGCTTCTATTCTGCTGAATATCCCTTTTACATCACTGGGTTCACTTTTGAGCTTACTTTTGCTAGATTAGCTATAGAGAAACTGACATTTATTTTGACATTGGTATTGTGGAGACAGAAACATAGATCTTGAGAAGGTAATCATCCATGTAAAAGAGCCCAGTGAGTGACTGTATATTAGAAATATAGAAGATATAAAAGAAAGTATGTGATTTTCTTTAAAAAGTAGTAATTGCATTTCCATTAATTTTATAATATAGTCATAGAAAAGTGTTTGGGTTAAGCGTGTCACAGCTGCTGATTGAACTTTACAGATTAACATTTTAGCATGCTGTAATTTTGCTCCATTTTCCATAATGCATTAGACTAATGGGAAGGAATCAGCTTTGCCAGAAAGCTGTTTGTCCATTTCCTTGACATAAAAGTATTTGCTTCTGATTTTCGGATGCAGAAAAGTAGAATTCAATTTAACAACAGTGGAAAAATATTCAGATGTCTACTTTTCAAATGTTTTACAAAGTAATTAGTGTATCCTAAATTGTTCAGAGAAGGAGCTTGGGAGATAACACCGAAAAGTTCAAGGGAAGCAGCAAAGAAATCTTTGGTACCTTCCAGCTCCTAACCTGAAACTTACTATTCAGAAAGGAATAGCATCTAGTGTTGTTCTTAAATCTCCTTTACAGCAACTGTGCACAGTGGTATTTATCAATGTTGGTGTCTTGATTTGATCAGTGCTGGTATTACAGCAATTAATTCTGGAACTTTGATTACATCTCTTGATCCTGTTTATTACTACAGGCGACGACCAGTACTTTTCACTGGGCCCTGACCCTTTTTTATGTGTGCTGTGTTTAGTCATTGGTGCTTATAATCCACAAAAACACCCGTACAATGATTTCCTTGGGGGCAGCAGATTTTCAATAGCAATTTGCCATCTGACACTTGGACTGTAACAGTGGTCCTCAGATGCACACATGGAGAAAGGCAAATGCTGTTTGCAACAGCAGATCTTAGAAGGGCGAGCTGTTTATCATCTTTCAAGAAATACAAACTACTTGGTTGTACCATTTGACATTAGATAAAGTTGAATTTTCAACAGTATGCTGAGTACATTTTAGTTGTTTGGGGTTTTTTCAGCATTAAGCTTCAAACATCACATTAGTGAGAAAAAATACATTTTAGCAGTATTTTTAAATAGGAAATACATTTTGTTATATTGCTTTTGCCAAGTGGAACAGAAAAAAAACACAAGGTAGAATGTTCTTATTGCAAACTACACAAATAGTAATTTATATACTCAAAGTACAGTTGCAGTATTTAATTTCTTTTAGACTTCTCTGTCAAAGTACTTTGGAAAAGGATGTTTTTTATTTGCATATTTCCTTGATTGACTAAATTACTTGTTTTCTCATTAGCATGCTATGCCAGGGTAATGCATTGAATTTGCATTTATTTGCATTAGTTAATTTGCTATCAGGGTGGTTAATTTGTGCATTTTTTACTGTTCCACTCCTTTAACACATTGATGGGGGAATGTTTGCCAAGACAGCTTCATACAGGAGCAGAGAGGAATGAAGGTGCAGAGTGACCAGAGGTGCCACTGCAGGCAGAAATACAATGGACGAGCCTAGGGCTTCCATGTGTTTGGGATATATGATTTGTGTAGTGTACATGTAGTGAATAGAAATCCTTTTGAAAAGCCCTGGCATGGCAGGCATGTGCCAATAGGGGAGGTATGCACATGCACAGAGAAGCACCGGAGCTCCTAGAGAAGCCCTGGGGTTACTGTACATCTGTAACACCTGTCTGCAGAGACAGAGACAGCACAGATACACTAATCCATCTCACGGTGTGTTAGTTCCATCCCAGATGGGATTTTGAACAAAAATATAAAAGCTTTGGAAATGAAGCTTTTTCAGATAATAGCTGGGGGCTTTGGGATTTTTGTTTTGGCTTGGGTTTTTTTTTGGTTTTTATTTTTTAGCTTTATTTTTTCCACTGACATATTTAAATCAAGACAAATATTGTCAGGCATGTCAATAGGCACTGGGAAAAAAGTGCTGACTTATAAATTCAAATGAATTTCAAAATACTGATTTGGAGATTAAAAATTTATTCAGCAATTGAGAGAATATATGGATATAAAAAGAACAAGACTCTTGTAATACTAGTAACTCTAAACCTCATATCTGTCTTCTATCATGACAGCAAAAGACTAATCAAAGTATGTGAATTAAAATGGAGAGTAGGGATTGTCAAGAGTAAAATAAGCACTAAATCAGAACAAGGTTGTTGCTAGGATATTTTCCAGGATTTTCCTTGCTCTTTTGCACACCCTGGTATATATGCTAATGATTAACATTTCAAATCTGCTCTAGTTATAAACCATTTCATATTAAAAGCATTGGAAATGTGAAATATATGAGAAAACATGTCAAGGAATTCCTCCTATTTATTCCAAGTCTTCAAAACATGCAGTCCTTTGTTTTTTCTCTATTTAAAAGACATCAAGGCTTCTCAAAATGAACAGAAAGCCTGGAAACAAATGAGATGGAAACAAATATTCTAAGTGTGAAGGCTGATTCACAGTCGTATTTTTGGAGACAAGCCCTAATTGTAGCGTAGAGAATGGACTCAGTCATCTCCATTTATCATCAGAAGATCACGCTTCAAAATACCTAGTGGGTTTTTTATAATCTTCAGAATGTACATTGAACAAATTCTTGTTATAAATTAAAGGCTGTATCCAGGGAGATTATTGCAATAGCTTGCTTGCCTAAGTTTTTTGTGACAAAAGGAGATCTTCTGCATAATTTATTTATATATAAATGGGGGTGTATATATATATATATATATATATATATATATATATTTATATATAAATAAATTATGCAGAATTATTCATGTCATATAGTAAAAACATTTTTCATCATTATATTCTGCACTCTCAAACTATAATTCCCCTTTAACACAAAGCATTTTGTACCCATGTGTTAAATGTACTTAGCTAGACACCTATGTTTTCTTTGTACAGTTTAGGTTATACCATCTCTGTCAGTGCTCTACTTCAGTGTATACACAGCAATCAAAAGAAATATTTGCATTGGTTACACTGGTGTTTGGATCGTAAATGATCCAAAGCTATAGAAGTAAGTACTGTTTCTTCTCCTAAATGTCTACTAGACTGTGCTTTTGTGAGAGGAGTGTATGACGTCCTTTGTCTGGAGAAGTTAGTGAATATTTGTTGGTTCAGAGCAATTTGCCACTTAGCATTAAATACACCAAAAAAAGTTATCAGTAACTTCTAATGTGTACATTATTCTCTTGCTACAATCTCATATAAGCTTGACATAAATCCCAATACTCTGGCTTGTATTTTTAGGAAAAAGTCATTTCTTAGAAGATCAGAGGAAGTTTTCAAGCTGCTTCTTTTGATAATTAGCAGTTACTGTGCCATGCCACATATTTGAGTAGTCCAGATGTTCAGCTGGGAAGTAGCAGGGTGGCAAAATGGAGCTCCATGGTGAGACACAAAAAATCTCACAAGCATTACAGTATATGTTTATTTTGCCGGGTTTCTAAAAATTATTTTGAAAGAGTGTATGTTTTCGGCTAGTTACAATCTTCCATCAGTTAAGGAAAGCAATAGCTGTTAGTACTGTAGTTTTATTTGAGGTGTTTTTCCTACTTTGAAGTCACTGCATACAAATAAGGTCGCCTTATACCTAAGAGTGGTTATCTGAATTCACAATTACATGTACTTGATCTAGTGTCAAAAGTAGTGTTTTCTACTCTATTTTAGTCTTGTTATCACTGAGAAGTCTGTGCAAGAGAGGAAGGGTGAATTATTTCCCTTCCTGTACATCATCAGAGAGATTGTTTATTAAACTCTAATAATAGAATAAATTGGTTACAGCAGTGAAAAACATTGAGGGCAGTGAAGTCGCATGGGGAGAGATAATGTGGCCTGAAGGACTCTTACTGCTAATGTTTATGAGAGTGAAGAGAAAGCCAACAGGTTAAAATCTGTTTTCTTATGCATTGAATATATTAACTTCAAGCCTACCTTTGAGACCGTATGCATAGAAGCTTAGACTGGAATTTTTAGGATGCTGCAGTGTTATCGCAGTTGCAGTGCTCATGTTTAAGAGCAGAGTAAGGCTTACACAAAAATAAAGATTG